CTGCTCAGCCCCTGAAGCAGTGTTGTGGTCCAGGGGAGTGCCTGCAGGGGGAAAAGTGCTGTTTCCTGCTTCCTGGCTGCTGGGCTTGTCTCCTCTGTCCCAGAGTAGCTGGATGTAGATCCCTGCTTTCTGTAAGCAGCTGGAATCTCAGTCTCTCCAGGAATTCTGCCTGTTTTAGCTTTCCAACCCCCTAATCATGAGAATGTCATGAAAGCACCATGAAATGTATATTTGTGCTCCCAGAGCAGATCTCCAGAGTTAGATATTCAACAGTCCCAGGCCTCCACTCACTCCCCACTCTGTTTCTCTTCTTCTCACTGGTTATATGGGGTGGGGGAAGGGCTCGGGTCCCGCCGGACCACAGGTTTGGTATGTTACCCTGTTCCGTGAGGTCTGCTCTTTTCTCCAGGTGTATGCAGTCTGGCGCTGTCCCCTTTCCTGTTGCTCTTTCAGGATTAGTTCTATTAATTATATTTTCATATTATATGTGGTTTTAGGAGGAAGCCTCTGTCTCACCTCTCACGCCACCATCTTTAATCCAATCTCCACTACATGTTTTTCCTGGCTACTTGATATCTCATTGAATAGATTTTCCATAAGTAATTAATCTATGTTTAGACATTTAATTTAATTCTAGATTGTTGTAAGTAATTTACAAAGAATATGTGCGTTTTTTTGTTTCTGTTTATTTCTAAGAAGAAGTGAAATTGATTTATTCCTATCCTTTACTCATTTAAAAAAATCTTTTCATTATGGAAAACTTCAAACATTTTTTAAATTAAGATACTGTTGATATACATTCTTATGAAGGCTTCACATGAGCAACATTGTGGTTACTAAATTCATTTGTATTATCAAGTTCCCCCCACATACCCCTTTGCCGTCACTGTCCTTCAGCATCGTAAGATGCTATAGAATCACTGCTTGTATTCTCTGTGCCGTCCCTACTTTATGTGTGCTAATCATAATACCCGTTAATCCCCTTCTCTCTCCCCTGAACCTGCCTCCGCACTCCCTTTCCCTTTGGTAACCACTAGTCCCTTCTTGGAATCTGTGAGTGTGGTGCTGTTTTGTTCCTTCAGTTTTGCTTTGTTGTTATACTCCACAAATGAGTAAAATAATTTGTACTGGTCTTTCTCTGCCTGGCTTACTTTACTGAGCATAATAACCTCTAGCTCCATCCATGTTGTTGCAAATGGTAGGATTTGTGTTCTTCTTATGGCTGAATAATATTCCATTGTGTGTATGTACCACTTCTTTATCCATTTATCTGCTGATGGACACTTAGGTTGCTTCCATTTCTTGGCTATTGTAAATAGTGCTGGAATAAACCTAGGGGGCTAATGTCTTTCTGAATTTGTGATCTTGTTTTTTTAGGGTGAATTCCTGGGTTAAATGGTATTTCTGTATTTAGTTTTTTGAGGAACCTCCATACTGTTTTCCACAATGGCTGAACTAGTTTACATTGCCACCAGCAGTATAGGAGGGTTCCCCTTTCTCTGCATCGTTTCCAGCATTTGTTGTTGCTTGTCTTTTGAATGTTGGCCATCCTGACTGGTGTGAAGTGATATCTATCTCATTGTAGTTTTAATTTGCATTTCTCTGATAATTAGTGATGTGGAGCATCTTTTCATGTGCCTGTTGGCCATCTGAATTTCTTCTTTGGAGTCGTGTCTGTTTAGATCCTCTGCCCATTTTTTAATTGGGTTATTTGCTTTTTGGATGTTGAGGTGTGTGAGTTCTTCATATATTTCGGATGTTAACCCCTTACTGGATACAGACATAGGTTTTTTTTCTTTTTTGTTATTATATTAAGGTATCTTTCATATACACTCTTATGACAGGCATAGTTTTTAAGGGACAAAAGTAGACCTGTGTGTACCCATCACCCAGTTTCATCAGTTATTAATTTCTTACCGATTTTGCATAATTGATATTCCCATACAGAGACCCCACCCTTTATTATTTTGAAATAATCTCTGATACCATATCATGGCATTCTTAACTATCTCAGTATGCATCTCTAAAAGTTAAGAATAGTAAACTATATACACCCTAATACTATCTTCTGGGGTATAATTTTAAATGTACATTCATGAATTATAAAATATTGAAGAAAATTTGAATAAAATTGATTTGTCTATATGGAAGGCAACTCTCCCCATTGAAGATATAAAAAACTTTTTATTGAGGTCTTGGAAAAAATATTAACAAATCCCTACACTGAATAGGAAACACAACAATGAGATAAAGAAGTTTATGGATGGGAGTAGGGTTTAAGTAACATTTAAATGTTGAAGTATTAGAGAATTTGGTTGTGGCCAAAGAAAAAGAATTCAAATATTTAAAAACAATGTGGGAGAAGACTATTTTTCCCACTGTATTAACAATGGCAGTATAATTATGTTCTTCCCTACTTTCTGAGATAGAAAATCAAATGACAGCAAAACTAGATTGTATTATTCATTTATTTATTTTAAAAAGAAAATTCTGGTGTGTGTCTGCTTAAGTATGTAATAAGCCCCATCTATCAGGGTCCATGAGCGAGAGATCTTATGGGTGACTTGTTCTCCACAAAATTTCCTGGCACCTGGGAGAGTGCATACACTAGAGGTACTCAGTTAAGAATAATTTTTTTGGACCTGGGATTAAAACCATATAGTTATGATGCAATCCTGAGGTATTAAAACCTGCAGTATGTCAGATACGGGTGAAATTAGGCTCATCATTTTGTACATAATATATGTGCATGAAGATAGGGAAGTGTGTGTGTGTATTTGCCTTTTAATTATGATGGTTTATTATTTTTTAGCTGTAAAGGCTTTAAAAGCAGATAATGTGAAAATTATTTAAAATTAAACCATAACTGAAATGATCAGTTTTCTTTTAAAACACCAGAAAGGGAAAGAGGAAATAAAGACAACATGGATCATTTACCAAAATAAGTCATGTGTTTTCATTTGACAAACACCCCAGAGACCATCTTTTTCCCTAAGTTAAAATTAGTATCATTTTAATTGTTATACATGTTCAGAAATTGTGACATGTGGACTAGTAGAAAATTCTCTTTAAGTGTCTACAGGATTCATTTGTGGGACCTATGCCTTGTTTGTTCAAAGTGAACCAGATTATGAACCTGCTTTGAAGAAAACCTGAAGAATTATGGAGGGTTATGTAATTGGCTTAGTATTAAAGAGATTTGTTAAAATAATGCTGTCTTCATCTCTCTCGTGTATGGCTCATCTTGAGCTACTTGTGCTTGCTTAGCCTTGAAGGACATAAAGCACCTTAGCTTTCGGAGACACAATTGTGAATATTTTTGAAAATTTAAGAACATGATTTCTTACTTGTAGGGATATACTTTTTGTTTCATACTATCTTTCTACTTCTCTCTTTCCCCCTGCTCATTAGCTCCTTCCTTTATATAATTTCCTTATTACCTGGTCCATGTCTTCAGTCATTTCACCAATGTCTTCAACTCCCTTGTCTCATTGTTATTCCATGGCATCTGCCTGGCAGAATGCTTAATTCCAGTCAGCCTTCTCCTTGTCTAACTTAACTGCTTAGCAGTGCTGAAGAAAATATGAAATTTTGAAGATTGCTATATTAACTTTGTGGTTCCTGACCTCAATAAAGCTTGCAGTGCTATCTTGTAATAACTACTTTTCCCCAGTTTTTTCTTTCTAGTTGCTCTGGGGATTACAGTATGCATCTTTATTGCAATCAACTTCATGTTGACCTAATACCAGTAAAAACAGTAAAGTTGAAATACCAGTGACAATATTTGCAACCTAAATAAAGGCTACTTTCCTTTGTATGCAGATAAGAAAAAGACCAAAAACCCCAGTAGAAAAATGAGCAGAGAACATGGATAGTTTTGTTTCATAACTGTATTAAAAAATGCTCAATTTCCTTCATAATAAGAGAAATACAAATCTAGTCTGAGTTACAGGTTTTTACTTAACATATTGACTGAAATCCAAATATGTAGTTGAATACCCTGTTGATGTAACTATGAGAAAGAAGCTCTTTCATGTATTATTGGAAGGAGGATAGATTGGTACAAATTTCTGGAGGACAATTTGCTAGTCCTCTATCAACATATATACATATTTATATAACATATATTTACAGTAGATAAAGTATGATAAAGTATGATCAATATAGTAGATAAAGTAGATAAAGTATGATCAATAGCATGATCAACAATTTTAGTAATTACTATGTAGTTGTTTTATAGGTTTTCAATAAAAAATAATTTTACTATTAGTGATTTTATTATATTTCATTATTAAATTGGTATTATAACAATTATGCTTATAGTATATATACTTATTTATTAATTTATTTAATATAGTATGTATACTATTTTATTAATATATACTTCTGTTGTGATTGTGTGTATGCATGTGTGTGTATCCTCTTGACCTCATAGTTTCACATCTGAGAATTTATCCTATAGGTATGATAGCATATGTGTGAATTGACTTATGTACCAACTTATTCATTGCAGTATTATTTATAATAGCAAAAGGGAACCTAGATATCCATAAATAAGGGACTGGTGAGTAAAAAAAATACTACATCTTTGCAATAGAATACGATGTATATGTAACACAGAGAAGAATGTGAATAAATTCTCTGTTCTTATGTTGTAGAGAATGCCCTCGTAGGTTATATATTGTTAAGTGAAAACATCAAAGTATGTAACAGTGTGAATAAAAAATAGTCTGTACAAAATGCTATTTTGTGTGTTTTTAAAAGGGGGAGAAATAAAAATGTATATTCATGTTTTTATAAAGGTTTTACAAAAAACTAATAAAAATGGTTATTCTTTGAGGTGTTTCTGGGCAGATTAAGAGCAGGGATTAAAAGGATACTATTGTATGTTTTTTATATTGTTTGATTTTTGAACCATCTGTATATATTGCCTTTTAAAATTAAAAATTTTGTAAGGATCTTAAGGAAAATATTTTCTTTCTGTTTTTTTTTCTCATCAGCAAGCTAAAAAAGCTGAGTGAAGACAGTTTGACTAAGCAGCCTGAAGAAGTTTTTGATGTATTAGAGAAACTTGGGGAGGGGTAAGTACAACAAATATGAAAGTAGCATTCAGATAATGACAGAACAATTATAAAATTCTATATAATATTAATCTTTCACTAGAGGAAATCTGCTTGAATTGAATAGTAATAGTATAGAGGGAATGTAACTCAACATAATAAAGGCCTTATATGACAAGCCCTTGGCTAACATCATGCTCAGCGGTAAAAAGCTAAAAACTTTATCTCTGAGATCAGGAATAAGATGTGGATGCCCACTGTTTTCACTTTCATTCAACATAATACTAAAGTCCTAGGAAGAACAATTAGGCAAGAAAAAGAAGCAAAAAGCATCCAAATCTGAAGAGAAGTAAAATTGTCTCTATTTGCAGATGATATGATACCATATGTAGAAAACCCTAAGGACTCCACGAAAAAGACTGTTAGAATTAATAAACCAATTTAGTAAAGTTGCAGGGTATAAAGTCAATATACAAAAATCATTGGTGTTTCTATACACTAGAACAAACTTTTGGAAAGAGAAACTTAAGAAAACAGTCCCATTTATATTTGCATCAGAAACAATAAAATACCCAGGAATAAATTTTACCAGGGAAGTGAAAGATGTGTACACTGAAAACTGTAAGACATTGATGAAAGAAATTGAAGACAATACAGATAAATGCAAATAGATTCTCATAGATTGAGACAACTAATATATCCATACTACCCAAAGCAGTTTACAGATTTAGTGCAATTCCTATAAATTCCACTGGCATTTTTCACAGAAATAGAACAAACAAATCTAAAATTTGTATGGAACCACAAGAGACCCTGAATAGCCAGTCATCTTGAGAAAAAAGAACAAAGGGAGAGGCATCATGCTCCTTGATTTTAAATTATATTGCAAAGCTATTGTAATCAAAACATCATGGTTATTGGCATAAAAACAAACATTTAGTCAATGGAATAGAATAGAGAGCCCCAAAATAAACACATTCCTATATGGTCAGTTATTTTGTGACAAAGGAGCTAAGAAAATACAATGGGGAAGAGATAGTCTTTCCAGTAAATGGTGTTGGGAAAAGTGGGCCCCTATCTTACACCATACACAAAAATCAACACATAATGGGTTAAAGATGTGAAACAATAAAGCTCCTAGAAGAAAGCAGGTGGGATTAGCTCCTTGACATTGGTCTTAGAAAAGCAACAAAAGCAGTGATCAACAAGTGGGACTATATCCAACTAAAAAGCTTCTGCACAGCAAAGGAAACCCATTCAATAAAATGAAAAGGCAACCTGTGGAATGGGAGACAATATATGCAAATTATATATCAATACAAGGTTATAGTCAAAAGATATAAAGAACTTAACACAACTCAGTAGCAAAAAACCAAGTATTTCATTTAGGAAACAGGCAGAGGAACTGAATTAACATTTTTCCAAAGAAGGCATACAGATGGCCAGTAGATACATGAAAAGATGCTCAACATCACTAATCATCAGGGAAAGACAAAGTAAAAACTATAATGAGATATCACTTCACCCCTCTTAGAATGGCTGTCATCAGAAAGACAAGAAGATAACAAATGTTGGTGGGAATGTGGAGAAAGGAACTGTTGTTCACTGTTGGTGGGAATATAAGTTGGTGCAGCTACTACGGAAAGCAGAGGTTCCTCAAAATATTAAAAATAGAATTACGTTATGATCTAGCAATTCCACTTTTGGGTATATATGTGAAGGAAATGAAATCACTATCTGAAGAGATGTTGCAGCTCCATGTTAATTGCACCATTATTTACAATAGCCAAGACAGAACAACCTAATTGTCCATTGATGGTCAAATAAATAAAACGTGGTATATAAAGATAGTGTCCAGCTAACAATGGTTTTTCCACTTCATGATGGTGCAAAAGTGATGCCTGTTCAGTTGAAACTGTACTTTGAATTTTGATCTTTTCTTGGGCTGGGGATATATGGTATGATTCTGGGTAGCAGCAGTGAGCTACTGATCCCAGTCAGCTATTTGATCATGAGGGTAAACAACTGATACACTTAAAACCATTAAGTACCCATACAACTATTCTGTTTCCACTTTCAGTATAGTATTCAATAAATTACATGAGGTATTCAATACTTTGTTATAAAATAGGCTTTATGTTAGATAATTTTGCCCAACTATAGGCTAATGTAAGTGTTCTGAGCACATTTATGGTAGTAGGCTAGGCTGAGCTATGATGTTCAATAAGTTAAGTGTATTAAATGCATTTTTGACTTAAGATATTTTCAACTTACGATTGGTTTATTTGAACATAACCCATTGTAACTTGAGGAAGATCTGCATTTGTGATGGGATATTATTCAGTCATAAAAAAGAAGGAAATCCTGTCATTTGTGACAACATAGATGGACCTTGAGGGTATTGCACTAAGTGAAATAGGTCAGAGATAGATAAATCCATAGAGATAAATAAATATTTAATTTTTTATTGATAAGTAAAACAGATTAATACATAGATACAGAAAGCAAATGATTTGGAGCTAGATAGAGGTAATGGCTACACAACATTGTGAGTGATTTATATATGTCACTGAATTGTACACTTTAAAATGCAAATTTTATGTTGGGTGCATTTTACTACCAAAAAAAAAAGTAACAGCTACTTTTTATCTAAAGGACAAATGCAGTTATTTTTATGACACCATCATAACTTTAATGTCAAAACCTAGATATATTAAAAATAAACCCTGTAATTCAGACTTACTTTGCTACCCGTTCTGGTACCAAGCCCACTTTGTCTCAGGTGGAAAGGTGTTACCACTTCTCTTAATGGGTCACATCATCCATTAAATTTAGGAAGCCCATTTCAGTGTTGCTATATCTGTTATCTCTGACCTGCATTGTAGAGCTTTCTGTGTGACACTAGTAAAGGGAGTATACTTTGGACCCTCTCGGTGAACAAAGTTAGGGAGTAGGTGAGCAAGTCACGTGTAATACATTCAGTCCAGTGTTGCATTCTTGAGCCTTTGATCTGCTTCCTCTCGTGTATACTGAGGATCACTGTCATCTCACTTAATGTAGGCCACTTTTGAGTCTAGTGTTCAGTTACCTAGCTGAGCAGGCTCTTAGAGACGCTGCTAATTGTTTGAGATATACACTGAGTCTGGAATTTCTGGTCTTGCATCCATATCAGTAAATTTCTTTCTCCCTGGAAGTCTTGGAATCCATTCCCATACATATTCTTTAGGTATGATAAAAGCTGCTGATAAAAACTGACAAAATGTTAGAACTTTTTTGGCATGAATAATAGGTGCTCTTGGATAAGATTTTCTTTTCATCCACCTTTTATCTGTAGAGATTTGAGTGTAGTTATAGGTCTAGATGTCATGAGAGGTAGTGGTGGTGTGGTCTAGGGGAAATACTTACATTCTCTTGAAAGTGACTGTCTCACGTGAGGTTATTATAGTGTTTAGGCCTTGTGAGGCTTATCTCAGTTTAGGGTATAGGGACTTTTGCTGAAAGGGTGGCTTGGTAAGGTAGGGGGTTTGAGGTACTCAGATTAATAAGAATCTACCTAAATGTCCCAATACTGATTCTCTGGGTACCTCTCTTTACAGTTAAAAGTTTAAACAGAATAGATCTGGTGATGGTGCAAATTCAGTTTGCAATGTAATTCACCTTCCAGCAGCATTAGATTTTGGTTTTCAGAAGTCTCTCTCAGTCCTGTGGCTACCTGAATTAAGACATTCTTATGGGGTATTCACAAGTTTCTGGTTCTCTCTGGCTTGAGCTAGGAATTTAAGCCCTGAGCTTGTTATATTTGGTATGTAACTACTGCAGTGTAGGTAGGGGCAGCCAGTCCTTTCTATAGTCCTGTACTCCTATTTCTACCATAACATCTATTCATACAGGTACTTGGTCTTCTAAAGCTTTGCCTGGACTCCAGGCAACTAAGGGTAATAATTTAAGTAATTGTTTGTCCATGAATGCCATAGACTATCAGTATTCTATTTATCACTTGCATTGAAGTCATTACTATCTCCAAATCTAAGAAGGAACTTATCCAAGGTTCCCATCTTTAAGATAATTTCTTTAGGAACCACTTGCTGTACCAATAGCTGTTGGTAGCAGGGCTTGATCAGGAAAAGAAAAGCTACTTTACGTGCTCCAGGTATAAGAGTTTATTGTATAATTAGGAGCTCAGATAACTTGTGGAAAGGCCAGAGATGGAAAGGTAAATCCATAGATAAGTTTGAATTACAGGGTTTTTAAAAAATATGTATCTAGGTTTTGACATTAAAGTTATGATTGAATCATAAAAATAACTGCATTTTGTCCTTTAGATAAAACTTAGCTGGTCCTTTTTTCCCCCTTTTGGTAGTAAAATGCACCCAACATAAAATTTGCCTTTTTAAAGTGTACAATTCAGTGGCAGATATAAATCATTGAAATTACTGCTAAATGTAGGCGGAATGCTGAGGATCTTAGCCTGAAACATGGAATTGGGTGTTTCTTATGAACTCACTGGGGGTCTGCTGGAATCCTTAAGAATCTCTGGGACTTCTTTGGGAATCTTTGGTGGAATCTTGGGAGGCTCCCACCAACTATCTCAGTCTGCAGCAGCATTGTGGTAGTTATCAAAAAAGCTTTGCAGGAAGCCTCCATGTATCTCCTATCTGCTAATGCATATGCTACACTTAAACCTGGAGAATGGTGGTTTCTCTGAACTTTTTGCCATTCAGATTTCATGTATGTTCTTCTCATCATCAAAATGGAATTCTGGGAAATGTGACTCTCAGCTTCTCTTTTGCAGTGACAAGGGGAGACCTTAGAAGAGAGTGATGGTGTTGCTTAATTGACAGTAGATAATCTAGCACTGAATTCTATATTAGCTTTTTGAGGAAATATATTCCCTCAAATCTGTGATTACACACACACACACACACACACACACACACACACACACACACACACACACATATTGCTTTTAAGGGGAGATATATATGTATATGAGTGTGTGTGTGTATTTTTGTGTATAAATTGGGGCTACATACTACACATGCACACTCACACCCAAAGGTAACTTTGGGTGTCAAATTAAGTTAAATTACTTCAGAAGGCTCAAAGAAATGGGATAGGATAAAATTCATTTTGTTAAAGTAGCTGTTTTATCACTTATTTTTCACTTCTTAACTTATTTTAAAAGATTGTAAATTTGAAAATGATTCTGTATAGCTTACTAATATTAGGAAACATTCCCATGTCTTCTAATGGCATGCTCTTCCTTCTCTTCTGTAGAAATGATGTAGTGAGAAGAATATGATCTTTGGAGTTAGAATATGTTTGAATCCGGGCCTTGATGGTTACCAAAATGAATCTGTTTCCTCATTGTTAAAGTAGTGATAATAGTATTTTACTTCAGAGTTGAAAAGATAGAGTTTAATAATGCATGTAAAACATCAAGCATAATACTTGGTTTATAATAAGAACTTAGTCAGTGGTAGCAGTTTTTACCTAGTCTTCTAATTCATACCAAAGTACAAATGGCGTTCCTCTCTCATTGTCTTTGTTCTTTAAAACACGTAAATATTTAATTGGCAGAGTTTCAAGGGTTGTAGTGGAGACAGTTTTTGGGCAATTGGCCATTAGGTCCTATTACTCATTTTATTTCCTTGTGAGTGTGTGGTCCTGCCATTGAGGAGAAGAAGAGAGTGAAAGGAATGTTTGAGTTGACTCAGGATGACTTAGGAGGGACCAGAGTCCCTGCCCCTCTAACTCTGGTGTCATGTGGTCTCAGCTGAGGGTTTCAGTTGCTTTTATGCAGTCCAAAGAGAAGTGGGACTGTAATATTCTGGGGATGATTTTGCTTATCGGAGATCAGTGTTTTCTCCTAACTGGAGACTTTGGCTGTTTTTAATCTATATTTCAGTCTTCCAATTTCCTTTATATCTTCTTAGTTTCTTACCATTTCTTTGAATTGGTAAACTGTAAGTCTGTTTCATTTATAAGAAAAATAGCAAATATTTACATATTAACTTGATATTTTAAATAAATTTTAAGTCTGTAATTGAAGCACTAAAGCTAAGGTATAATTTGCTTTTCTAATTTGTTTTGTCACCATTAAATAGTGTTTTAATAGAAAAGACTACAAGACATGCAAAAACTCACAAAACTTTTTCTCAAATACTTACGATGTTTGAAAGGAAATAAATGTCTTGCTATCTTTTAGGTCTTATGGAAGTGTATTTAAAGCAATACATAAAGAATCTGGTCAAGTTGTGGCAATTAAACAAGTACCCGTTGAGTCAGATCTTCAGGAAATAATCAAAGAAATTTCCATAATGCAGCAATGTGACAGGTATGAAGAGATTTTGTTTCTTTGCTTACCTTTATTTTGATGTGTTGCTAATGATAAAATGTGTTCTTTGGTCATCTATTTAGTTTTCTTTTCTGACTTACCATCAAAAGTGAGACTAATTCTTAAAGCAAGTGGAGGATAGCTTTGTATGGTTACCTTTAGGACTCAGGGCTCTAAAGTAGAAATGATGTTATAATGCTACATGTGGTGATAGAAAATACTTAAGCAGTTTACCTATTTTTAAGGACAGATTTATGGGTGAAAATTACTTTTTGTTAAGGAGTGTCATGTAACAGTCTTTTTATGTAAAATGTTTTTACTAATTAAAATAGCTATGTTTTATGTAACTCTGATTCTTTCAACAAACATTTACTGAGCATCCCCAGTGGACCAGGTACTGTGCCAGGATTTAGGAATATCAACAGAACTAAGATACTGTTTTCCTTCTGGAGGGGCTGGTAATCTAGTTGGGAAGACAGATACTTAAGCATATAGAGCTATAATACAACACAGTTACTATAATGACTGGTGCATGGGTGGTGTGAGAACTTATCTCAGCCAGGAGTCAGGAAGTCTGGAATGCTGAGGAAGAGTTAATTTGGTGAAGAAATGGAGGGATGGGAGGGAGTAGAGAGAATTGTAAATAGAGAGAGGTGAAAAACAGCTCATGGGTATGTGCTGTTCTGACAAGGTTTAGAATTACTGGAATGGAAAATATGAGAGATTGGTGTCAAATGACTTTGGATAGGTAAATGAGCTGATCATGAATGGTCTTATATGCCCTATAAAGTAGCTGGTCAGGGATGCAGAGTGTATAAATTAGGACTATGTTTAACCTCTAGTTACTTAATCAAAGAGGGATTTTTATTCTCCCTTTACAAGAGGGCCTACTTACTGCCAGTAGGGCTGGCATCACAGAAACAAAGTGACAACTGTCTCAGGCTTTTTTTCTTCTACTGTGCCATTCCTACTATGTGACCTTTGTCCCCAAACTTATTATCTCATGGTTATCTGAGGGTTGCTCCAGCTCCAGGCTTCTGTCTACATTCCATAGGCGAGAGGAAGGAAAGAAAGAATTTCACATTTAACATTCTAAAACCAGATTTGTAATTGGTGTTTAATTTTTAATTGTTGCAACAAGCCTTTAAATTCCTGTTCTGCTGATGGCATCATCATCTACTTAGTTTTTCAACAGCAAAACTGAGAATCCTCTTTGTTTCTTTTTCTGATACTTCTGATGACAATAGATCTCGTAGATTCTTCTTTTGAAATGTCCCTACTATCTTTATCCTTCTCTTCATGGCTTGAGAGAAGGAATCATATTTGTTAGCACACATTACAATGACTAGCACTGTTTTTGTTGAATGAATGTGAATGGATATGGTATGTAAAAGGTGTCTGGGAAGAGCATTATGTAAGTTGAGGGAATCAGATCCTTGTTCTGGTTTTGTACTTTAAACTACTGAAGAGGAAGAGAAGTAAAGAACAAAAGGGGAAGAAACTGTGATGAAAATTCTAGAAATTCTCTGCCACTTTATTGCAAATGCTTTGTACGTAGTAGATACTTCTCAAGTATTTGTTGAATGAAATAAATAGTGGAACAAATGTTGATTAAAAAGTGGTTCCTTCCTTTTATATTCCACTTTCAAATTCATATTGTACATATGAAATAGTGAGGCATCAAAAAATTTGGTTGAAAGATCCTAGAAAGATCCTTATTTTTCACTAGGCAAGTGAAAAATGAACTAGGAAATGAAGGGAACAAGCTTTATGTTTTAGCTACTAAATACTAGTACTAATGTAAATATGTTGAGAAATTGGCATAAAAATGATTTTGGAAGAAAATAGTACAAATTGAGAAATTGCCACATAAAACAGTGGAATTATGGTTAGAGAAAATGAGATTTACAATTCTGAAACTGAAGTATTTTCATAAGTCTTTCTAGTGATTTGGCCATTTGGCAAATTGTCTTGCTTTCTACACTTTAAAAAGAGACCAGAGGGTGTTCTAATTTTTTTTGTTCTTTTTAGTGAATGTTAAACATATGTTTAATACTGCATTTGGCATAAATATTTGAGGGAGCCCAACTGTGTTGTTTATTGTGGAATCTTCTGTGTCTAGTCCAGTGCTTGGCCCAGAAAAGACACTTAATAAATATTTGGTGAATGTGTAAATCATAGAATGTTAATGCTGAACTAGACCTCTGAAGGGTCTGTTTGTTCAGAGTTTTTCAAATGTACTCTGCTCAAAGGAGGTGCTTCTAGGGTTATTTTCCTCAGATAGTGAAGAATTGAGCAGAATGAGAAATTTAGTGATTGCTTTTATCCTTTCTCTGTATTAGGGCTTATTCTACAATTTTATGTAAGGAAACGGCTTCTGGTGCTAAAGCATGTTTAAGAGCTATTTTACAGGTAGAGAAAATGAGACCTAGAGATTTTTTTTTCTTTTTAAATTTTTAAATTAAAAAAAATTAAAAATTTTTTAAAAAAATTTTGGTGTCATTTATCTACAATTACATGAAGAACATTATGTTTACTAGGCTCGCCCATTCACCAAGTCCCCCCCACATACCCCTTCACAGTCACTGTCCATCAGTG